GTTACCTCTAGTAGGCAGGAGGGAGAGGAGACAGGGATAGAAGTGAGATTTCTGTGCATATATTTTTGTCTTGTTTGGTTTTTAAACCCTGTCAGTGTTTTTAAAATGTTCAAAAAATAGGTTACCTCTAGTAGGCAGGAGGGAGAGGAGACAGGGATAGAAGTGAGATTTCTGTGCATATGTTTTTGTCTTGTTTGGTTTTTAAACCCTGTCAGTGTTTTTAAAATGTTCAAAAAATCATAAATGTAATTCAATCAAAAATAAAATTCATGCTGTCTTCAACCTAGCAGTTTTACTGCTAAAACTGCCTCCTAGAAAGAAAAGTATGCATAAATTCATAAAGATAAATGTAAAAGGGTATTTGTTAGATCACTATTTGAAAGACTCAAAGCAGAAAACCAGCTAACTGTAATACATGTAAAATAAACGTAACTTTTAGTTAAATGAATGGCACATTAGAAGCCACTAGAAAGAATGAGGTAGAACTGTTTGTGTGAGTGTGGAGAAATACCCAAGAGCACAAGGAGGGTGGAACTGTTAAGAGCACAGATGCCAGAACCAGCCTGCCAGAATCCTGTGACCCTGGGCAAGTCCATCTTTCTGTGCCTCAGTTTCCTCATCTGTAAAACTGGAATAATAATAGCACTTACCTCATGGGGTTGTTTGGATTAAATGAGCTAACGAGGAAGACACTTAGAACGCTGCTTATTTAGCACATGGTAAGTGCTACAACTTTATATAACTAAATGAAAAAAGCAGTATCAGAGTCGAACCCATGGGTAGGGGGAGGAGACACCTCTCCCCACCACCCCAAGCCCAACAGCAGCTGCACATGCACAGGAAATTCCCAGAAGCTTAAGACGGGGGAATGGAAACTCTTAGTTGCCTGTCACATCTGACATCTTTCCTAGAATCACATATTCTTTTATTTAAAAACCAAACAGTTGATGAAATTTAAAAAAACAAAACAAAACAAAAAACCCAAACAGAGGCGCTGAAGCACTCCTCCCTGCCCTTCAGTAAAGTGCCCTCTGCTTCTGCTTCTCTGTGCTGGGCTGGGGCTTCTTCTCCATCAAATAATTAGCAATTCTGGGACTGAGAGGCCCCTGGTGGAGGGCTGCTGGGAGAGGCTGGGGTGTGGCCCGTGTCCCTGGGAGTGCGGGACTGTCCCCATGCCTGGCTGACCCGGGGCAGCACTGCCCCCTTGAGGCACAGCTCTGCCTGCCCACAGCTGCCAGGAGCCCCGGGCTCCCAGGCCTCCCACCTTGAGCTCTCTGCCCAGGAAAATTGCTTTATCTGCACCAACGGATCTAATAACATGCAGGTTCTTCCCAAGCCCCCCATCCCCCAGTGAGTTGGCACCACGAGCTCCTAGAATTTAAAAAAAAAAAAAAAAAAAGGGCACATAATTTGTGGCAAGTGGAGTTCATAATCTGTTAATTTATGATCATTTCTGTCGACCTGGAGGGCCATTAGCAGAGGTAATAAAGGGAGATGTAATTATAGGATCTGGGGCCACTTCAGACACAGCTGCTGTCACTCGGCAGCTCGTATTTCATCAAGCCAGACGGTGGCTACCTGGGAGCAGGGCTGCTGAGGGGACCTTTGTGAGGAGGCCTCTAGGTATCCCCTGCCCGTGTCAGCCTGGGTCGGCAGGGGTGGTGGGGACTCCCCATGAAGGCTCTCCTGGCTGGGGCTGACTCCAGGCTGCCTGGGGAGGGAGGATCATGGGCTGATACGTTCAGAGGCTGCAATTCATCAAGTGATTCCCACTGCCTGTTCAAGGCTGCTCACTCTTGCTGGAATCTCTTGCTCACAAGAAATAAGAGGTGGACACTCTAAAGATGCGGGCTTGCCCTGTCAGCCACCAATACTTAGGAAACTCAAGGTAAAAACCTTCATTTGGGGTAGGGCGACTTTAGACTGACTCCAACCACAGCTGCTACTCTGAGCAAATCACAATCAGCCCCAAGATCCCCGTGGAACTCATCCTTGTTCCACACGGGATCCTTGGAGCAGAAATTAATCTCATACTTAGTCTCGGCCACAGCTACTACCAAGAGACCTTTCATACAGTGAATGCTCAATATGTGCACGCAAAGAAGTATACAGTGCCAGGCTGTGGACCAGAGGCTGGAAGATACTGAAGCCTGAGACGTGGTCCCTTGTGTTTGAGGACAGTGGTCTGGGCTCCTCCTCAGAGCTCAAGTCCTGAGCAATTTGAAGTGGCCTGTCCTTCCCTATGTCTATCCAAGAACCTGAACGGACAGGAGCCAAGACGAATCCCAGGGTGGGCTCCAGCCTATATCCTCCCTACTCGAACTGCTCGCTCGCTCGCTCGCTCGCACTCTTCTGAGGACTAGCCGGCTGGTCTTCAGATGAGGTTTCTATCTAATCTGAGATGGGATTAAGTTGATGAGTTTAAAAATATCAGGCATTTGATATGTCATCGCCCTTAATATGAGGTTCACATGCAGTGGCAGGAGATCCACTAATTAATTTTTCCTTAAACACCGGAAGGTCAGGCCCAAATAATTCAGCATGAAGATTTATGCAAAATAGGCAAATCAGCATTCGAGACAGACAAATCAGCCCCTGTATCTATTTTATTTTTAAATCAGAAAGAATTCAGCTTTAGACAAGGAGAAATGATGACGTGAAAGGAGGCTTCTATCACTGTTAGTAACAACCACAGCCATGGAGCCATCTCTGCCATTTATCAAGCATCCACTGAGTGTGCCACCTCCTCCCAGCAACCCCTTGAGTGGGGCTCTGTTGCAATTCCCATTTTACAGATAAGGACACTGAAGCTCAGAAAACTTAAATATCTTGCACAAAGCCAGGGAAGACAGAACTGGGATCAGAGCCCAGGCTGCATGATTCAAAGGCTATGCCTCTAAGTAGCCGCTCTGCTCTACACCTGCCCTCCTGGTTGGGCACAGATGGGAGATGGAGCTGGGAGGTGGAAAGACACAGGGAGGAATGGGTCCAGGGGAGACAGGGTCTCCTGGTCCTACCCTACTCCCTCAGAGGTGGGGTAGCAGAAGAAGCAGTGACCCGGGGGACCGCCAGGAGCCACTCCTGAGCCATTGCTAGGATGCAGTATCTGTTCAAACCAGAACAGGAGTAAGGGCGTGGGGGCAGAGGGTGGGGGCAGGGGTGGCTGTACCCAATTTGGTCCTGGGTTAGTGGAGCAATCCAGGCTGAGGTGTCTTAAGTAGTGGCCTGACCCCACATCCGTGCTGAACCAGCACTGGGCAGATTCAGAAACTGCTGAGAGTATAATCCTCAAGAGGTTGAGCCCCTTAGTGAGGGCACACCACTCAGATCCCCAGCTAGTGAGCCCACCCCCGAGTCATGCCCAGGGGGTCTGCACAGAGGGAATTCCAGGCTTCCTGCCAGCTAGGTGGCCCAGCAGCACCTCTGAACTGTCTGGTCTCTCTAAAAGCCCCTGTCCACAGGAAGGCTGCTTCCTGTAAGCTGTGCACACAAACTCTCACACATCGGGACTTTGATTCAGCTCAGTCAACATGGGCCTGGCATCTAAAGCCTAGGACACCTTTGCTGCATCATCACGCACGCTGCTTTCATCTTCCAGAGGCATGACAAGCAAAAAGAAGATCTACAGACAGGAAGATAAACTGTCCCAAGTCACACAGCAAGAACTGGTGGTCACTGCCACGCCAGAGGGATAACAGGCTCTCTCCTGCACTGTGACCACGCTGTTGGAGCCTTAAAAGAGCAGAAAAAGGCCCCCAGTATGTGTGTAATGTGGAACATGTGGGTGTCAGTGTCTACAAAAATGAAACATCAAAAATCAGTTCATATCATATCCAGACCAAGACAAGCTAAAAGTGGGGCTCAGGCCCACGAGTGGAGGATGACCACATGGCCTGAAACACATGATACATACTTTCTACACCAGAAATGTCCTTAACGTCACAGAATCCAAATCACGACATGGGCCTCCCTTCACCATCAGGCAGGTGGCATCGGTGAGCACGTTGCACTGGCACGCATGTGCCAGGCACCCAGCTGAGTGCTCCACACACATGACCTCGTTTCATCCTCACATCAAGCCCTAGGCTGGGGTACTCCTGGATTCCCATTTTACAGAGAGGGCAGGTGACCTGCCCAGAGGTACACAGCTGGTAAATGCAGACCCTGAATTTGGACCCCGATCTGATTCCCAAGCCCATGCTCTCTACTTCTCTGGTCTCACTGCTTCACTCCACCTGCCTCTAATATGAAGAAAGACAGCAAATTCCTCTTCCGTGTTGTTTTCCAGCATAATTCCAATAAGGTCCACAAGAATACCCCACTCTTGTCCTTTAAGGGTTCAAGGAACTTGTTGTTCTTTGAATATTACCAACTATAGATCCAATCACAGACCCTTCTAGAATGTAACTGGTTCTGAAAAGCCCCCAGCAGCTCGTAAACATTACTGGATCTTAAACACCTGGTCCCCTCCAATCCCATAAGGAGAGAAAAGGAGCCCCAAGAAAAACAGGCTTGCCAAGATGTCATAGGCCCCCTGGGGTGGGCTCCACATGTGGGGCAGGCCACCCCCTCCCCTGGTCCCACACAACTCACCTGGGATATGCTTGGCCCAGCCAATGATGACCACAAGCTCCCGGTCTGCCAGGTCACAGAGAGTGGTCAGGGCCTTGATGTCCCCCTCGGGCATGCCAGGGGGAGGCATGGCGTAGAGCTTGTCTGGCTCGGCCACCAGTAGGTAAGAGACAATCTTGGTCACTGCAATGACCAAAGAGGGAAAGGTAAATGCCTAGGAAAAGAGGAAGAGGGCCGGGAGTGGGGCCTAGGATGGGTCAAGAAGAAAAGTCAGTTTTTTAAGACCAAACGTGGTTGTAATCTCCCCTCCTGTTCTAAGTGCACAAAGTTGCTGGCAGCAGTGATTTAGGCTATTGAGAAATATCCCTCCAAGGGAAGTTGCCTGATAAATTTTCCTGAGAGGAACCTGCAGAGCAATTCGGGTGGGTGGTGACAGGCATGTTCCAGATGTTGGGGTCCATGGTTTCCTAGGACCATGCTTCATTTGAAGTCACGTTCCGTGCCATCCCATGTGAAAAGGCCTTCTGAATGAAGCCTGAATTATCTGACATCAATGCCAAACACTAATGTCACTTCCCAAGATCCATGCTGTCCCATAACCCAGCAATGGGAAGATGGCATTTCCCCAAAGGAAGCCAGATATTTCAGGCACAGACGCTGGCAAAAGGGGCATGGACTGCCCTGGTACTCACATGGCTTTTTAGCAGGTGGAGAAATCTGTAAGCTCAGGTATGGGCTGCTCTCTGAGTCCAGCCGTCGCTTGTATTTCTGGCGGCCTCCGCGCACTCGGTCCAGGCGCACACCTGTTGGCGAGGAAAGGGAGAACATCTCGGGAATTGCTCAACATCCCCAGAGGTGCCAGAACTGACTTTGGAATTTCAACGCTGGCTAAGTCCTTCAGGCCATGACCAGATGACCTTTTACAACTGCCCCCTGGCCAATCTCAGGCCAAGTGGCTGGATTGTCCTAAAACAATCATAGGACAGTAATGACCCATCCCAGTTGCCCCAGGCCTGGTCCTGCCTGTCTGGATTTGGCAGTTTTCAGCCCTTGAGTCTTGACATCCCCAAAATGGAAAACAAAACAAAAGCACTGTACACCAAGTGCTGGGGAAAAAGAAGCCTCATCACCTTAGATCTGCTCTGAATCCAGAGAGGGTTGAGTTAACTTGCTAAGATAAGAAAGGAACCCCCTGAGCCGGCCTGTGGCTCACTCGGGAGAGTGCGGTGCTGATAACACCAAGGCCCCGGGTTCAGATCCCCTTACCGGTCATCTTTTACAAAAAAAAAGAAAAGAAAAGAAAGGAGCCCCTGCCACTGGCAGGCACTTCAAAAGGGTTGAACAAGGACTTCAAACATTTCCCATAAAAAGCATCTGGGTGGGCGCTCTTTACAAATGTCAATTTCTGG